GCCCATGCTATTTCATCTTCCGGAGCCTCTGTTTTGAGTAACTTGAGATTTGTTTAGGTAACTTGGCTATATATGGGTTTTGTACCAGTAGGCTTCATATTGGCTTGTACTCTTGTAGATGTGGCAATATTATTGGGTAAACCCTTAGTGGCTTTGTTAGAGGTTGTTACAAGTGGGGAAATATTGGATAGGTCTCTAGTTCTTTTGCGACTAATATTTGGGTTAGTATTGGAGGCTACTAAGCTATAATTAGTAGTAAATGCAGAAAGTGTGGGCTGAATAATCTGATTAGTAGGTGTGCTAGGCCTGGGTAAAGTCACTCTAGTGGTGTTATTGGTGCTAGAACTTGTAACTATGTTAGTCACAGGGTTGGTAGTGTTGTTGCTTGTACTAGTATTTGTGTAATCTGTATTCAAGTTTTAAAAAAGACTAGGATTGGTAGAAGAATCTGTATGTACGACTTATTCATTGTTACTTCTGTTGGACTCATTGTCTAAGTCCAGGTTTGTGATAATATTATATAGAATTGAGAATAAGTTTTCTGTACCTCTAGCTTTCAAATATAGTTTTATATTGGCCTCATATAGGTCTAAGATTGTTGCAAAGTCACTATTTCAAGTAGGTTTTGGGAGTTTGGTGCTAATATTGATAATGTTGCTTTTCTGTGATATGAGGTCGAACAGGACTGATTGGGTAGGATCTTCATGTCTGCACACCCATTGTGATAGGTAGTTAGTCAGGTTGGGGATCTTGCCAGATTTGGTAATATCAACAAAGAAGATGAAGTTGTCAGCATATTCGGGAACAGAGAAGCTAACAGAAAATGTAAGTTTGGACCAGTCTTTGATAGTAATGTTTAAAAATTTTTTAGTGTATTCTACACTAGGATCTAATAGTGAGCTGGTAATAGGAGTGTCTTCCGGTTATATGAGCTTGGGAGTTCGGGAAAAAAATCCAAAGTAGGAAGAGATCTTCCAGAGACCATGTTTTTATTGAGGTCTTGGGGCTTAATAAGGTATGGTACTTGTTGCTGTTGGTTATTTTTGCTAAGAACACTAACTGTAGTTTGTTTTTGTTTATCTGAAATTTGGGGTCCTTAGGACCACTTTCACGGGAGGATTGAAAAACTGCTTTGTTGCTGTTTTGGAAGTTTATTGCTACTAGCTTGTTGTAGTAGAGTTTTTTAACAAAATTTGTATCTCTTTTAGGTAGTTTTAGGAATGCTAGACAACTTTACTTAAGAGCCAAATATTAATTTACTTAGTAAGTTTTCGAGAAAATGTCGCAGGAAAGTTTTTCTATTTTGGTAAAGTGATTTACAAAAAGAGTTCTTTTCTTTAATTTGTTATATTTGTTAAATTAATATTTTATAGTTTCTATAAATTTTATTTTCAAAATGCTATATAATTCAAATTATATTGATTTATAACAATTTATTTCGATTTAATTATTTTTATTCATTATTTTGTTATGTTAATATTTAATAGTTCCTATTAGAGTTCCATTGTTTGATCTGGGTTTGATTTGAGTTTGATCAAACCCCAAATCAAACCAAACTCAAACAATAAATTTTATTAAGTTTGAATTCAAACCCAAACTCAAATAAAAAATAATCAAATCCAAACCAAACTCAAATATTATAATAAGTTTGATTTGAGTTTGATTTGAAGTTTGCAAACTTGTTTGGGTTTGAATAGAGCTCAATTCAAATATGAACTTTTAAATTAATATCCAGATAAATTCATCAAATATTTATTGAATATTCGAATACTTTTAGTACAGTACCTTTTTTACGATGTACAACTTTTTAATAATTAATTATAAAATTTATTCATCTATTATACTTACTCATTTGTCTCTTTTAATGAAATCTTTAGCTGGTAAGTATCAAACTTCTGAATCACTTATATAAGGATTTATAACAAAATATCAAGCAAAATTTATTTATTAGATATATATTTAATATAATGAATTCTCTAGTTATATGTAGGAATGTGAATGTTAACCATATTATTTAATAAAGTTCTAGAATTTAGGACATTTATTAATCTTCTGAAAATAAATTGTAAATTATTTGTATTGACCTCCGCAATTACTATCTACTATTAATTGCAAAACTGTGATGAAACTTTTCTCGACTTCTAATAAATTTTAATATAATTATTATTTTATGATATTGATTTTTTTTACAGAGCAATTTTCATTCTGGGCAAATTCATTAAGCTGGGCCAGCATTAAGCAACCAAATTTATAGGAAAATTAACCTCTAGACCTTTACTTAACGGGTTGCTACACTAAAATACAAATACATATGTAGCTAGATATAAAAATTTTTCAAATTATGTTTTTGATAGACAATATCAGTTAACTAATATGCTATTCAAAAATGTAACTATTGAAGTAAGTTTTGTATTACTTTGACTAATATTAAATATATGCCACTACGCTTCAGGCAATTAAAGTTTATATCTTATTTAGTGTATGAATTTTTTTTTTTCCTCCTTAAAAATAACTGGACTCTGAAAAACTTCGTGAACTTGGTTACAATCATGAATTCAGTATTGATGTTAAGAAAGACGAAAAAAAGGCTTTTGAATATTATATGAAAGCAGCTAAGTTAGGAAATTTGTATGCGATGAATGACATTGGTAATTGTTATCATTATGGAATTAGAATAGAAATAAATAACCAGAAAATATTTGAATATTAAAAGAAGTATACTGATTTGGGTAATGCTATAGCAATAGGTAATGTTGGTACTTGTTATGAATATGGAGACGGGATTGATCAAGATTATAATAAAACATTTGAATACTATAAAAAAGCTGCTAATATGGGTGCTAACGTAGCAATGGTTAATGTTGCTATTTGTTATCGAAATAGTACTGGTACAAAGAGAGATATTCAGAAGGCAAATTATTGGTTCAGAAAATATAGAAGTAATTTGAAAACAAATAAATCACCAGATCATATCAATCCTGAACTTAAAAGAATACTAGACGATGAGAGATTTAAATTATCTTGGATTGATTATGATGAGTTCACAATTAAACGGGAATTGGGAAAAGAAGGATTCGCAACTGTATATTGGGCAAATCGGTTTGATAGAATTGATAGTATATGGGAAGATGTTGCACTTAAAGTGATTTATGATTCCAACCAAGATTTGCAAAATTTATTCAAGAATTGAAAAATTACTGTGAAATTGGTTACGAAAATCCTTCATTCTTGAATTGTTTGAGAGTGTCAAGAAATAATTATAGTGATTATATTATTGTTTTACAAATTGCACCAAAAGGTTCTTTACAACAAAATCTTGTACAAGTATCACAATTAGAATGGAAAGACAAATTAAATATTTTGTATAGTATAGCTTTTGACCTTGAGTCGATTCATTCTCAGAAACTTATTCACAGAGACTTACACAGCAGAAATATTTTGCAACCTGAGTTGCAAAACGCATATATCACTGATCTTGGACTTTGCAAAAAAGTAAAAGAAGGAAAAATTTGTGGAGTTTTGCCATATGTAGTACCAGAGATTTTGATGGGTCAGCTGTATACTGAAGCATCAGATATTTACAGTTTTAGAGTTATCACAACTGAGATTTCGACTAGACAAAAAGCTTTTGATGGAATTCCATTTGATGATTATTTTGTACCAATTATTGATGAATTAAGACCAAATGTTTAGGACCAGATTTTTATATTAAATTAGCTATGAAATGTATAGATAAAGATTTTGATAAACAACCTACTGCAACTGAAATTGTTGAAATAATCACTCGTTGGTTGGATAAAATAGATCATGATAATGATAATGAAATTAAAAACTGAATTTTGAAAGCTAATAAGATTAAACCAGAACTGATTGGACAAATACATTCACAAGATATACATACTAGCAAATTATATAATATGAAAAAAATTTCTGAACATATTAGTAAACCGATGAGTTCTGTAGAAATTTTAAGCAATTTCTCAAATTTAGATTTAAATTAAACTATATGCAGTAAATGTTTTTATAGGACACGTACTTAAGAAGGTACAACTATAGTAATTTATCTTAGTTATTATATATATAAGATTTTGCTAAATTTTTTTGTAGAACCCTTCAAACTCAAACTGTTTGATAAACTTCAAATCAAACTTCAAATCAAATCAAACTTTGCTAAAAAGTTTGTCTTCAAATCAAATTCAAATATTTTTTTAACAATAGTTTGAAATTGGGTTTGATTTGAAAATCAAATCAAACCCAAACTTGGCTTAAAGTTTGGTTTGATCCGGGTTTGTAGGAACCCTAGTTCCTATCAATTTTATTTTTAAACTTTAAGGATAGAGGATACGTAGATCATTTATCATATGATTTTGTGGTACAACATGATTTTTACAAAAAATAAAATATGCTACTAATAAAACTTTTTACTGTTTTAATTAATTTTTGTAAAATTTTTATATTATATAGATTAATATCTATTTTTTATAATAGTAAAATTTTTAATAAATCAAATATTTAAAAAAAATATATTTGTATATATTGTAAGTTTTCCGTAGTCATTTCAAATTTTCCGGGTTACACAAAATCGTTGATTTTGATTGGTTTATATCATATGATCATCATATGATTTTTATAAACAATTTATAATACTAAATATTTAAATATATGTATCTCAATGAATATCTAACCAATTTTAATAATTTTACTACCGTTAGAATCAGAAAGACCTGTTATACATCTTTTATTAGTAATTTAAAACAAGTTTACTTAATAAAATTTTCTTTAACTTTAAAAGGAAAAAAAATTTACCATTAGTTTTATATATAATTTGCAAATAGTATCCTCTACCCTTAAATAAAGAACTTAATTAGGCATCATGCCCCGTAAAATTATTATTTTTCGTATCCAGGGGGTGATGTGTTAAAATCATATCCATTAAATTAGCAATTCCTCCATGAAATTATTATTTCTTGTATTCAGAAAGCAATGTGTTAAAATCGCATCTACTAAATTAGCAATTCGAAACTGGTTTAATATAAAAAAATAAAACCAGTTCCAAACTCAAATTTATATGAATGCTGCCAAGAGCCGATCGAACTTTAATATATTTTGTGTATAGTTAACCATCTATAAAAAATTTATTATAGTGATAAATTTTCCATAGACGACTAACTGTATACAAAATGTATTAAAAGTTAGATTAGCCTTTTTCCCTTGATAAAAATACACATTGTGATATTTATATCTCAAATTCTATTTACTATAGTAATATATGTTCAAAAAATGGCAGCACTCATATGTAAGTTAGTTTATTTAGCAAATTTTATTAAAGACAATAATAGTATATAGAATAGAACAAGATTTATTATATTGAACCTCAACTATAACATAAATGTGAAATAGAACTAATATATATGTACAACTATGCCAATGCTACATAAATCATTTCATGTATATACATACAGAAAATAGCTACATTAATGGTAATAATTGTTACTTATAATAGAGAATGAATAGACAAATTTAAATTACAATTTATACTTTTGTACGTACTTATGTATGGTTCTTTCCTCTCTCTCTTTCTTTTTGTTTGTAATAAGCTGTATTATGACCTACTTCACCACACTGACGACATTTGTATGAGCTTCTAAAAAAAGTTCTTTTTTGATCTTTTTCTTTTTCTGTACTATTCAAGTAACAATGTTTAGATGGTCATCCTCTTCCAATAATGCGAGGAGGATTTTGAATGTTTTTTGGAACTTGGATTCTTTTGTTACTATCAAAGGCTTTGTTATCAGATGCTTTGTTATCAGGTGCTTTGTTATCAGGTGCTTCATTGTCAGGTGTTTCGTTATCAGGTGCTTCATTATCAGGCACTTCATTATCAGTATAACCAAGGTCTTCACTTTCATCTTCATTATCAGTATAACCAAGGTCTTCACTTTCATCTTCCATTATTTGATTTTTAGCTTCATAAACTTCTTGTAAAGTGGAAACAACTGGTTTGTTAACTGGTTTTTCCCCCATTTTCTTACTCTGTGTATCACCACTAGATGAATTCTTTTCATTTTTTTTTCTTGCAATATAGCTTTGAAGAAGGTTAATTATTTCATCATCTTTAATATTTACTACTAATAATGTCGCCTCACGAGCTAATCACAAATTTTACCATAGTGATTTCTTTTTTGTATAGCTTTTTTCATAGTTGGGACCACAGCCAGAACAGCATACAATCTTTAAATAGAAAAATTTATTTCATCATAACTTTTATCTAAAAAGCCTTTTCCATAATGAAATATAATTTTTTCATTTTCATACATTTGTTTTTCCTGATAGAAGTCTTTATACCATCGTGGAAGAATCATTGATATATAGAAAGCCACAACTTTAGAATGCATTATTATATGAAAGTAGTGCCAGCAAACAATTCCTCTTGAGATTGCCATAAGACATGAACATAGAAAAGATATTGGACTTAAAACGACTATAAAATATATATAATATCTTTTTTCACTACGAATATTTAAAATTTTTCAGATTTCTTTTATGTTTTCATCTCCTACTTCATCTATTATAGCTCGAAGTGTAATTTGGCGTGTGTTATAGTTATCTTCTAAAAACCCACACAAAACTTCCTTTTCAATTTCTTGTTCAGAATTAAGTTCACCAGGTATTGGCTTAATCCTATTTGCTATAAGGAACAAGCATTGTGATATTTCTGCCTTAACTATATTACTAACCGGTTTTGTAAGATATTTGTCAATAGTTTCAGTTACTGTAAGAAAAAGATCATAACCAGCAGCAGGCATTGTGGTATATATTGTTAATTCCTTATATTGATGAAACCTATTCTACTGCAATTCAGTTTTTAAACGTTGATCAAGGTGATCTGCAAGTTTGCATAATGTGCAATTAAATTTTATTTCTCTTTTAATAACAGTTGTAAGATTCAACTTTCTATTCTGGCTATAAATATTTTTGAAAGATAAGCACAGGCCCAAGACCAATTGCATAGTTGTAAGACGCACAATAAATAGTCCTTTGCCATTAGAAATTTGTCAAGCATATCATTCCAACGCTTTTAAAAAAGTGGCTTGCAAAAACTATTACGATATTGAAAAAAGGTTTTCATAAAGTCATTCCATTTAGTGCCAACTTTAAACTTGAGGTTTTTGGGTAAATTCTGTCCAATATGAAAGATGCAATATGCAGTATATGTCTTGGGGAAAGTAATATGAATTGCAGCATCTTGAGCTGGATAGGCATTAGTAAAAATAACCAAAGGCTCTACTTGTGTCACATTTCTTATACAAGTTAGAACCCACATATAAGAATCAAGAGTCTCATTACTTATTAAAACCTGGCCAACAAGACACATTTTTTCATTGTTATCAATAACTACAAATAACCCTAAAGGCATTTGATATATATTCGTTTTGGCTATGTTATCACTAATAACTACATCATAGTATTTCAACCACAAGTCATGTTGTTTAGACGATATCCAGAATAATCAAATTAATCAATTATCTTTATCCAATTTGAATTCCACAGACTATCTTGGATCATTCATCTTATTTGCTAGTAAGAAATTAAGAAGGTCAGACGTATCATTTGTTCCATGCCTTTTTTCTATTTTTTTATATTTTTGGATAGCATTATTAAAATCACTATCTTGGAAATGTAATTCAAGAAAACGCCCTTTTAACAAATTTCGCTAAGCAGCATCAGCAAAAATAAATAGGCGTAAACCTCCGCAAGTTTTTACGCGAGCGTAAACTTACGAAAATTTACGATTAGTT